GGACGCTGCGGGCGAGCCGATCCACGCAGAGGACCGCTGGTGGGTGCGCTGGGAGGATGTGCCGTCGGGCATTGATCTGGTGCGCGTGGCTGTTGGCGCCCGCCAGTGGGTCAACCTCTACTCGGGCTTTGTTGGCGTGCAGGCGCTGCGCCGGGATGCGGTGCGCAGCAGGGGCGGCACGCGCACGCTGCTGGGCGAGGATCTGGAGGCTGCCTTTGGCATCCACCAGCAGCCAGCTGATCTGGAGACTCAGCTGAGCCGGGCCTATGAGCAGGCCACGGCGGGCGGTGAGCGCGCCGTTGCGCCGCTTGTTGGGTGGGCGCTGGACAGCTAGCTCTTTTGGGCTTATTCGGGGCAGGGCAGGGCAGGGCAGGTCAGCTCTGTTCAGCTCAGCTCAGCTCAGCTCTGCTCTGCTCAGCTCTGTTTTTTTGGGCCGCGAGCCCGCTGTGTATTTTGTCTTTTTTTCTGTATATTTCTTGTTTTGTTTTATCAATATTGTACTTTTATTCCCGTTTTGTGACCTTGTGTTATTGAGTTGATCACGGCAAGCGAAAAATGGAAAATCAGCCCTGCCATGGGACACATGAAAAAAATTTATCATTCAACACCCCCCCCCACCCAAAAAAGCAATTAGCGGCAATCGTCCCACACAAATCACGCTTGGAAAATCACTTTTGCATTTTTTTCTACCCCCTTACCCCCCTCTTCCCTTCCTCTTATCGGTATCAAATCCCAACTATTTAAGCCAGCAACCCCACGAAAAAAACTTTTTTTTTCCAACGTCTCTCTGCTCTTGATACCACCAATTGTCCGCATATACCCCACACACACTAACACAAACACACAAATAATAACAATGTCCAAGCCTATCGGTAAGCAACAAGCCCCACGCACACATTATTACCCTGTCTTGTCATGTTGATCACCCACTGATACCAACAGCCGATACCACTATTCACATAGCTCTCCTCTCTGTGTACGACAAGACCAACCTTCTGGAGGTCGCCACGCAGCTGCACGAGCTCGGCATCGACCTCGTCGCATCCGGCGGCACCTCCAAGGCTATCCGCAACGCCGGCCTCCCAGTCAAGGACGTCTCAGACATAACGCGTGCGCCAGAGATGCTCGGCGGACGCGTCAAGACCCTTCACCCAGCAGTGCACGGCGGCATTCTCGCGCGCGACCTGGCAAGCGACGACGCCGACCTTCTGGCGCAAGGAATCGACAAGATCACATACGTGTTCTGCAACCTGTACCCGTTCAAGGACACCGTGGCACGCCCCGGTGTGACAATCGCCGAGGCCGTCGAGGAAGTGGACATTGGTGGCGTTACGCTGCTGCGCGCTGCGGCGAAGAACCACGCGCGCGTCAGCATTGTCTGCGACCCTAAGGACTACCCGCAGCTGGTGGAGGAGATCAAGCAGGGCGGCGTGGCTCTGGAGACGCGCCAGCGGTTGGCGCTCAAGGCGTTCAGCCACACGGCCGACTACGACTCGGCCATCTCCGACTACTTCCGCCAGCAGTACGCCCAGGGCTCGGCGCAGCTGCCCCTGCGGTACGGCGCCAACCCGCACCAGAAGCCCGCCCAGGTGTTTATTGCCGACGGTGATCTGCCGATCAAGGTGCTGAGCGGATCGCCCGGGTACATCAACCTTCTGGATGCGCTTAATGCCTGGCCGCTGGTCAAGGAGCTTAAGCAGGCGCTGGGTCTTCCGGCTGCTGCCTCCTTCAAGCATGTGTCGCCCGCCGGCGCTGCCGTCTCCGTCCCCTTGTCTGCTGAGGAGCAGCAGGTGTACATGGTCGAGGGCACGCAGCTCAGCCCGCTGGCCATCGCTTATGCGCGCGCGCGCGGTGCCGACCGCATGTCGTCGTTCGGCGACTGGGCGGCGCTCTCCGAGATCTGCGACGTGGCGACAGCGAAGCTGATCTCGCGCGAAGTCTCCGACGGCGTCATCGCGCCCGGATACGAGCCCGAGGCGCTGGCGATTCTGCAGCAGAAGAAGGGCGGCAAGTACTGCGTCCTGGAGATCGACCCAGAGTACGAGCCGGCCCTTGTTGAGACCCGCCAAGTCTACGGCCTCAGCCTCCAGCAGAAGCGCAATGACGCGGTTATTACGCCAGAGCTTTTCTCGAAGATCGTCAGCCGCAACCAGGAGATGACTGAGGCTGCAAGGAGGGATTTGGTTGTGGCGACGATTGCGCTCAAGTACACGCAGAGCAACTCTGTGTGCTATGCGAAGAACGGCATGGTTGTTGGGCTTGGTGCCGGGCAGCAGTCGCGTATTCACTGTACGCGGTTGGCGGGCGATAAGGCTGATAACTGGTGGCTGCGTCACCACCCCAAGGTACTCGCTATGCGGTTCGCCAAGGGTGCGAAGCGCGCCGATAAGTCCAATGCCATTGACCTTTATGTTACTGGCCAGACCGGTGAGGGCGTTGAGCTGGATGCGTGGAGGGCGAACTTCGCCGAGGTGCCGGAGCTGCTTACTGCGGAGGAGCGCAAGGAGCATATGAGGAAGTTGAGTGGTGTTGTGGTTTCTTCGGATGCCTTCTTCCCGTTCTCGGATAACATCCACAGAGTGCACAGGTCGGGCGTTGACTTTGTTGCTGCGCCCTCGGGCAGTATCCAGGACGCGGTCGTTATCGACGCTGTTGACGGGTACAACATGGTGTTTGCCCACACGAACCTGCGTCTGTTCCACCACTAAAATACTGTGGAATAGTTGTTTTTTTGTTGTATAAAACCCTTTTCTTATTTTTATTCTTATGGGGCTTCTTTTATATACAAACGCGGAATATTCAGTTTTATTTTTGCTTATGTTTCTTTCGCTTTCAGCCGATTTTACCCGAGAGGAGAGGATGGGGATTATATACACAGTAAATGGCTTGCTTAGAAAATAAAATAAGCATGAAAAAAAGATTAGGGAAAGCGAGTGGGAATACGATTCAACACACTGCCCGCCTCCCACCCTCTCACCCAACACAAAAAAAAGTATCAATTTTAATTCTTTTTTTTTGATCCCTCCCTTTTTTTATTCTTGTTTCCGTTAAATCATTCAAAAAATATAATTTACACTCCAACTCTTTTTTCTTTTCTTTTCTTTTCTTTTCTTTTCTTTTCTTTTAACCTAATTCCCCACTGCTCGAGGAAGAAGAATAAATAAGAATCATGCTTCGCTCGTTTACTCCCAAGGCCCGCTCCTCTGCTCTCTGGCAGGTTACCCGCGCATACAGCTCCGCCAAGGGTAAGCATGAAACAAATTTAACCAAATTTCATAAAGATTCCACGCTCGTCCACCATAAAGGAATAGAGAGGAGTAGATAGGAATAGAGTGTGGTGGGGGGTTTTTTAAATTGCGTTACATTTTCAGCCTTGAATCTAATTCTTTCCGTACACTTTTTATTACTACTGTAGAGTTTGACACTGTCGTTATCGGCGCTGGTCCCGGCGGATACGTCGCTGCTATCAAGGCCGCCCAGCTTGGCCAAAAGGTACAGATACAAAACAAAACAAAGACGAACACATCAAAACTCTTGCAAAAAAATGAAAATGAAAATGAAAATGAAAACTTTACTAATAAAAGCCTCAAGTATTTTACAAGATAAAAATAGGTCGCCTGTATCGAGAAGCGCGAGACTCTTGGCGGCACCTGCCTGAACGTCGGCTGCATCCCGTCCAAGGCTATGCTGAACAACTCTCACCTGTACCACGAGGCCCAGCACGGTTTCGCCAAGCGTGGTATCGACGTCAGCGATGTCAAGCTGAACCTTCCCCAGCTGCTTTCGGACAAGGACAAGGCTGTCACGGGCCTGACCCGCGGTATCGAAATGCTGTTCAAGAAGAACAACGTCGAGTGGCTCAAGGGCACTGGAACCCTAAAGTCCGCCAACGACATTGACGTTACTCTGAATGCCGGCGGTGTCGAGAGCATCAAGGCGAAGAACATTATTATTGCCACTGGCTCCGAGCCTTCGCCGTTCCCTGGGTTTGAGATTGACGAGAAGCAGATTATCACGTCGACCGGTGCTCTGGCTCTGGAGAAGGTTCCGGAGAAGATGATTGTTATTGGTGGTGGCGTCATTGGGCTTGAGCTCGGATCCGTGTGGAGCCGCCTTGGTGCCGAAGTCACCGTCGTCGAGTACTTGCCGGCTATCGGTGCCGGTATGGATGCCGAGCTGGCCAAGTCCTTCCAGCGGTCGCTGACCAAGCAGGGTCTCAAGTTCAAGGTGAGCACCAAGGTGTTGGACTCGGAGAAGCGCGACGGCAAGGTGTTTGTCAACGTTGAGGGCGCGAAGAACGGCAAGAAGGAGACGCTGGAGGCTGATGTTGTTCTGCTGTCGGTTGGCCGCCGCCCGTATACCGAGGGCCTGGGTCTGGAGAATGTCGGCATTAAGCCGGATGCCAAGGGCCGCGTTGAGCTGGTGGATAACCAGTTCCGCACTTCCGTGCCCAACATCCGCGTCATCGGAGATGTCACCGTGGGCCCGATGCTGGCACACAAGGCTGAGGAGGAAGGAATTGCCGCCGTCGAGTACATCACTCAGGGCCACGGCCACGTCAACTACAACGTTATCCCCAGCGTTATCTACACTCACCCGGAGGTCGCCTGGGTGGGCAAGAATGAGCAGCAGCTGAAGGAGGAGGGTGTTGCGTATAAGATTGGCTCGTTCCCATTTGCTGCTAACTCCAGGGCCAAGACCATTGATGATTTCGAGGGCCTCGTTAAGGTTATCACGGATGCTGAGACTGACCGTATTCTCGGTGCTCATATTATTGGCCCGAATGCCGGTGAGATGATTGCCGAGGCTTGCTTGGCTATGGAGTATGGAGGTTCGGCCGAGGATGTCGCCCGTACTTGCCATGCCCACCCCACTATGTCGGAGGCTTTCAAGGAGGCCTGCATGGCGGCGTACTCCAAGGCCATTCACTTCTGAAAAAAAATAGAAACTATTTCTGTTGTTTTTTTGTGTCAAGTTGGATAAAAAAAAATATATTTCTTAAAATTTAACTAAGAGAATTCTTTCGAGTTTATTATGCGTAGGTTGTTGCTCCGCCAGACTCGATGGCTTCTATTTCAGCTTCGGAAATAGGCAGAGGACGGTACCGAGCAGGTAATTCCCAGAAATTAATAGCTTCCTTTGAGTTGCTGCTAGTTTTCCCTGCCATTTCTGTGGTTGTAGTTGCAGTGGGTTTCCAGAGGTTCTTGCGCGGTCCAAGGAATTTCATCAACGGAACGTGCTTGTGCCACTGGTATTGTGCCTTTTGTGCCTGAACGAAAAGAGTAGATTTCATATTTTTTTATGTGCGTGTGTGTGGATTTATAAAGAATTATGAAGAAAGAAAAAATGGAATTGAAAGTAAAAAATGTGAATTGATAAAGTAAAAAATGAAAATGGATTTGAAAGTGGAATTGATTCGAAATAAAAAAGGGGGAGTGGTGGGTTGTGATGATGATAAACACTTTGGAAAAATCTCCGTATATTTCCCCCTTTTTTTCGGTCCGCAAAAAAAAATAATCAAGGGACGGATTTTTTATTTTGAACTAAATTAGCGAGCCACGACTCTATCAAACAAATAGAAAAATTAAGGTTTCCGCAAGCCACCCCCTAGCTCATTCCCGATGATCCCTGATCATCCGTTTGCTTACATGACAATAATTATATATATATCTCTCTCTATATTCCCTCATCAACCTCACAGTGGGTGCCATGTTTTAATCCCTTACAAATCCTCAGCAATGTAGCCGCATCGTGCAAGACTTTCACTATTCGATCTCACATCTCAAGACCGTCCGCACATTCAAAGACCGCTTGGACAACGGGTGCCGTGCCAGCAGTTCTCCAGTTTAATCCGAGCGAAGAAGAGCTCACTGGAACGCTTACGTTCCGCAACACTCTGGTCCAGGACACCCGTCCTCAATTACCACGCACAACGCAATCCCCCAAACTCGGACATCAGCACCAATGTCCCCTTAATGGCTACACAAGCAGCTCCACCACCCAATGCAAGGGAATTATTGTGATCAGCTCATAGGTTTTGTTTTATTGTTTTTATAATTAGATCCGCACCAGATTATTGTGTCAAAAAAAGTATATTTCTCTCCCCAACATGGAATGAGTTTTCATGTGTGTTTTACCTATTTAATCTTGAATAAAATATATATGTGTGAAAATAAAAAGTATGAGCAACAATAACATTGTGATGCATAATGTGTATGCACCTTTTGCCTAATCTCGTCTGCTGATTGCTGGTTGTTGTTTTCCGTAAATTAAGTACAAGTGTGGATATTGAATAATGCACAGTAATCGAGATTCTATTTTTTTTTTTACATTTTTCTTCTCACCCTCTCTCGGACTTGAAAACAATTAAACTTTTTTTACTCCACAAATGGTACACCAAAAAGAAACCTAACGATTTCATCACCTTTTTATAATTATTTAAAATGTTTTTTATCTATATGAAGTGCGCCACCGAGTAAGAAAATCTTGCTTATGCATGTGTAGATTTAACGGAACATGGAATAAGAAAATATTCGCGCTCTGACCAACAATTTTTTCTCACTGTTGTTGGTCATTGTATTGTGAAAATCCTTTATTCTTCCCTTTTGTATTGGCCAGTTTTTACAGTTGAAAATTTCTATTGGGGATGTTTTCTTTGATTTCTTGCATTCAGAATACGTAAATCTTAGTTTTTTCTTCTAGTTTTTTTGAATGTAGTATTTTCATCATTTTAAATATAATTGCGTAAAAACAATAAACTTGATGGAAAAATTTTCTATTCAAAATCCCTTCATGTAAAAAAGGGGGTGGGTTTAGAATAGTATAAAAAGTAATTATCACCTTTTAAAGATACATTTACATATTTATCCTCCATTTATTTGATCCTATTACAAAAACCTCTATTTATTATCCCTGCTATTATTCTTACCAACAAAGCAACAACCTCCTCCATTCCAACATATCCTTTCTTTTCGCAATGTCTGTCCATAGCATTAAAGAAAAAAATGACTGTGTCGACCCGCCGACCAAGCCAATTCTCACTTGGAGTAACCTCAACTATGACGTCAAAACTAAGCAACACGGAGTGCGTCGAATCCTGCACAACCTCAGCGGCAGCATCTACCCGGGCGAGCTCGTAGCCATCATGGGATCATCCGGAGCAGGCAAAACCACACTCCTCAACATTCTCTCTGGCCGTGTCCAAGGCGGCCGCCTTCACGGCGACATTAAATTCAACAACACCAAGCGCAACCCGCATACATTTAAGCGGCTTCTAGCCTACGTCGAGCAAGACGACCTTATGTTCCCGCAACTCACCGTCGATGAAACACTGACTGCATCGGTGGATTTGCGACTCTCCAATGAGAAATACACGCCCGAGATGAAGCGTGATCGCGTGAACACGGTTATGCGCCAATTGCGGCTGACGCATGTCGCAGGATCTAAGATCGGAGGATCCGGGGAGCGCGGAGTTTCGGGTGGCGAGCGCAAGCGCGTGAGTATTGGCTTGGAGTTGGTCACGGATCCGTCCATTTTGGTCTTGGATGAGCCGTCCTCGGGGCTGGACTCGTCGTCAGCCGAGATGGTTGTTAGTCTGACCAAGGAAATGTCCAGGGAGCGCAACCTCTGCACACTGATGACCATCCATCAGCCGAGCGCCGAGATGGTGGCCAAGTTCGATAAACTCATACTCCTATCCCAGGGCAAACTGGTGTACATGGGCCCGGTTGACAAAGTGCTGTCGTACTTTGAACGCCTTGGGTTCCCGTCAACTAACTCCAACCCGGCTAACTTTTTCATCGATCTGACTACCGTTGATTTTTCATCAGACGAGGCCATGCGCAAGAGCGAGCAGCACATCCAGGCGCTGGCAGACTCCTTTGCAGCGTATCGTGGGAGTGAGGGTGAAGATCAGCTATCCAGTGAGCTGGTTTCTGAGCGATCATCGCTTTCGGCAAGCGCCGAAACAACTTTCAGTAATAGCCACCGGGACATAGACATTACGCACGAAGTAGCTGCCCTGGTTCTCTACGAACCCGCGCCAATGAATAACTGGCTGAGCGAATTATTCGTTCTGCTCCGTCGCGACTGGACACTCTGCGTCCGCAACAGATCCCTAGTAATGGGTCTGGTACTGCAAGCTGTCGCGATGATGATTTTCCTGGGCTTTGTCTTCTTCCAGTTAAAGACCGACCAGGCCTCTGTGCAGAACCGCATTGGCGCCCTGTTCTCCCTCACTGTCTGTTGCACCTTCCAGGTGATCATCCCCGTGATGACAGTCATTATGGCCGGCCGCAACGTCCTTCTGCGTGAACGTTCCGGGGGAACATACCGGATGACCAGCTTTTTCTTTGCCAAGTCGCTGAGTTTCTTCCCCCTCGTGTACCTGCCGTATATTGTCATGTACACGGGTGTTTACTTTATCGCGCATTTGCAATACGACGCGGCCAAATTCTTTATCGGTATGGCCAATATGTTTTCCATTCTCTTTGCCGCTCTCGGCTTTGCCTTTGCCATGGGTATGGTTGTCAAGAGCATGGAGGTTGCTCATATTATTACGCCCGTGTCGTTGTCCGTGTTAATGTTGTTTGCCGGTAATTTGTCCAACGCCAAGGCAATTACCCCTGTATTGAGGTGGATTAAATACTTGTGTATTTATTACTATGCGTATTCTGGGTTTGTGCAGAATGAGTTTGGCGGGTTGGAGTTTAGCTGCGAGGAGGGGGCAGCTGTTTGTTACAAAAGTGGGAGGGATGTCATTGAGATGTATGGTCTGAATGAATTGCCTATTTGGCTCTGCATTGTGCTTAATTTGATCATTGGCGTTGGGTCTTATGCTGCCGCTTACTGCATGTTGCGCTGGTTGGCTAAACCGCGGTACTTGTGGATATAGACTTTTATTTCATCTATATGTTACAAAGGGCTATAAATCAAAAAGGATATTTATTTCTTCCAAGAACAATTTCTGGCTGCCCGATAGCCACACCTTTTATATGTTCTCCTTGGCATATAAACAAACTATAATAAAAACATATAATCATTTCTTAATTTCCACGCACGTAATCAATTAACCTCAGTAAGGTAACATGCAACGCCATGTGCTTAAACTGTGACATACTTTTTTCTAATAAACCAAAAAATAAATTTATATTACTATTGTTGTGTGATTAATTTAGTAAAAAATATTCGATTTAATTACAATCCGTGTTGGCTATTGGGTAGAAAAAAGGGAATAAGGAGTAGAGACTTTTAATTGCAAAGAAGAGCTAGACTATTTTTTATTTGACAATCTTAAGACTATTTACTTTTTTAACAAAAAAATATGCTTCTACTCCTGTTGTTGTTAAGGTATAGATAAAGCCAAAATTCCACAGAAAATAAACCTTTTTTATTTTTCTTATCCTTGTCCTTACTATTTTAACATTATAACTATCAAAAATGAAACTGCGACTCACTATAGAAATCACAACCCCCAAAAAAGATATAACCGTTGATATCGATAAAACATGGACCATTGGCAAATTAAGAGAGCATCTATTAAATGAGGCAGAAATAAAATCTCTTAACCCGATAAACGATTATTATTTTGGTAGTTGTGGACACTTTATTAAACTTACATGTGCTATACTTGACGAAAAAAACCTACTTTCTTTAATTAAAAAACGCAGAAAAAACGTACTTGATGGATGCGATTGGAGTATTATTAAACTTCAATTTGGCAAACAATTAAAGGAAAATCATTTTGACATTTAAGTAAGGCATATGCATTGTGTGGACAATAATTGCGCCAAATAAAATTATATATTGGAGTTTCAATGGTTTTATCTTTCTTAAATACACAACGTTAAATATTGCTGCTCTCTATGTGTATGAGGATAGTGTCGCACAGACTAAAGATATCGAAGTGGATATTGAGGTTGAGAATCGCGAAACAGGTTTCCACCTGCGTGCCGATTGATAGGACGCTAATTGGATCATGCAGGCGTAAATTAGGGAGGCATTACATTGATGCCCAAACATGCTCCCCATTTTGCAATGCACACGCATGAGCGTACACGCACGAAAACCACAACATTGACTTGCCAAGATACCAATCTGCTCGCAGAAGATCCAGTTCTCACTAACGGAGCGCACAATTGGCAATGTGCACAACAAAGGCGATGAGGCACATGTATAAGATGAGGCCAGCCCTAGTAGTATTTTAGAAACATCAGTAATAAAACCTTTTATAAATTCAACCCCATTTTCTAACACTAGACAACTAGTGCTCCTCACACCCCCTCTTATTATAACAATAGGTTTGGTGAAATAATCTAGCTGCTTTTTATTGCGATTTTGCAGATATATTTTTTACATTGCCACCGAGTAAAAAAATGGTAGAGTACTTTGTTTTAAATGTAAATAAATTAAAAGATATATGGTAAAATAATAGAGAA